CGACAGACATTCAACTTTTATCCCACATACTTATTGAGCATTTGCCATCTATCGGGCACTGTGCTCAGTATTCTGAGTACACTGTGGTGGAAAAGAGGCGTTGGCCCCACCTTCATGAAGGTTACGTACCAGCAGGGGGAGGTAGACATTAATCAAACACTAACGCGCAGGCAGGAAGCACCCAGATTGAGCTCCAGTGCCGAAAGGAAAAGATGTGGGTTCTTTAAGGACACAAAACAAAGAACCTACATGGTCAGGGAGGTATTGAGGGGGTCCAGGGAGTCTTCCTGCAAAGTGTGATGCTTGAATCGAGGTTTGGAAGAAGAATGGGAGTTAACTAAGTGAATGGGGGTAAGGGAAAGAGCTAGGTTAGGGAGCCTTACAGAGAGAGGGTGACAATTCTGGGATGGGATGGACGTACAGACGTTGCATTCAGATAGCAGAACACTGCCCTGGCTGGAGCAGAGCGCGCCAGGGGGCCGAGTCAGGGAGAAGGCCACTCTCAGTGGGCTTCACAGGCCCGGGGCTGCATGGGTTCCTGGGCGGAGTGGAAGGCCAGGTGTGGATCCTCTAAGACTGAGAATGGACAGGAGGAAGGTCCGCTGTTAGCATCAGCGCCCGCAACGGGAGCTTGTTTGGATCCCCGACACAGGCCCTGGTGTGCTCTGAACTGAACGGAACATTTTTATCGGTCGCAATGGCAAACAAATGCCAAATACCTTCTACAAAAGGAGTTACTGAGTATGGAGCCACCGCATTGTACAAGCGGCCGTGTACCTCGTCCTCTGGGAGCTCCCTGGGAAATGCTTCCCCACCTTTACCAGAAACCACATCCTTCTCCCTCTCCTCGCCTTCATTAACAAATGGCATTACAGGTGGGGAACACGCAGGAAGCATGCCAGCACGAAGCACCCCCCCACCCCGTGCAGCCTTTGGAGTCCTGCAGTTTGCAAACTCAGGTGGTGGTGGGGTGCAGACAGGGGGTAAATGGAACACTCTGGTCTCCCCCAAAGATACCTGAAGTGGAAGCCTGTCGTGTAAAATGAATATGTCAGCAACATTGCTATTGGTGTAGAGGGCCTGGCTCCTTCTTCCTCTTTTCCATCCCCTAAGTGTCTCCCATGATCAATTTTATTTATATTAACCAAAGAGAATGTTGATAGTCTGTGCAATGGACAACTTTTCTGGTAACAAGACATTTCCAGGAGCAACTGAAACTTTGGAAGAAAACAAAAAAGATAAAGTTGGCAGTGGGGTTATGTGTACCAGTCCCCTGTGCGGAAAACTTCAGTAGTTCCTCACTGCCCTTCGGATAAAACCCGCCTTCCCACCGTGCCTGTGAGGCCCTACGTGAGCGGGTCCCTCCCTGCCAGTAGGGCCTGAGACTGTACGAGGATGCCTTGCATCGCTGTCCTCCAGGTTCCTTTCTGCCCCAGGCCCTTTGCACTGGAATGCTCTTACCTCATATCTACAGGGCCGGCTCCCTCGCTTCATTCCATTCTCTATTTAAATGTCTTCCTCTCAAAGAAGATTTTTTTCTAACCACCTTCTCTCAAGTAGTCCCTTCCCCCTTCCCATTCATTCCAGCTTCTTACCCTATTGTGTTTTATCGCTACCTGAAATTTCCTGATTTATTGACTTGTTTTTATCTGCCTCTACGAACTAGACTGTAAATTCCATGAGTGCAAAGATCTAGTCTAACCTGTTCAGCATCATGTCTGGAAAGCCTAGAACAGGGCCTTGGGAGTGATGCATATTTGTTGGATGAATGGATGTAACAGCATTCTGGTATTTGGAATATAGTGATGTGGATAAACTATTTATTCATCTGAGAAGCACAAGGATAACAAATATGCATGCATTTCATAAATAATTATTGAGACACTGTTATGTCCTAGGCACTGGGAATATAGAGGCTTCATCCGTGCCTTCACGGAGATGGTAGCACTGTGGTCAGTGTGGCGAGCTGAGGACAGAATCACGGGACCGGAGGGCCGGTTGATGATGGGAAGTGAGGAGGAGGCAGAAAATGAAGCCTAGGTTTTAGGCTCAGGCAGAAAAAGAGATGATGGTACCATTCTTATTATTTTTTTTTTTTTAATCATCACCCAAGGATTTTTTTTTTTTAATTGGTTTTAGAGAGAGAGGAAGGGGAAGGAAAGAGAGAAACATCTTTGATGTGAGAGAGACACATTGACTGGTTGCTTCCCGTGCATGCCTTGGCTGGGGATTGAACCCGGAACATAGGTATTACGTACCCTGACCAGGAATCAAACCCACATTCTGGTGTATGAGACAACACTCTAACCAACTAAGCCACCCTGCCAGGCCAGTGGAGCTGTTTTTTGAGCAAGGAACCCCACGTGATGAGGGGAGAAGAAAGTCTGCTTTAGAAGTGTTGACCTGGGTGCATCCCAGTGGCAAGATCCAGCAAGGAGATGGATATTTGAGTCTTGAGCTTGAGAGAAAAGTCTGGCTGGGAATAGGGTTGATGAGTCAAAGGCAATACTGTAGTCATGGGAGTAGGCGAGACCAAGCAGGTAGAATAAACTGAGCAGAAAAAAATAAATAAAGTAGGCCCTTGGAAGAAACCAACTTTTAAGCGATGGTTAGAAGTCAAACCTGCTGAAAGGTCTAAAAAGGAGAAACTGACACGATGGAAAGCCACAGAACTCCTTGCCGTAGCAGCTGAGGGAGGTCAGTACTAATACATGGGAGGTGCCATGAGACAACGGAAAAGCAGCCCCCGAGCTTGGCGCTTGGCGGCAGAGCAGTTCTCAGAAGTCTTTGCAGTCGCTGCCATGGTGTGACACAGCTGGGCGGGATATTTCTGTTTGCCGGGGGCAGCGAGGGGCGGCGAGGGGTGCGGGGGGGGGGGGGCGGAGTAAGGACTAGGAAATGGAGAGAGAGGGAGAAAACCCTGGTAAGGTGCTCGATCCTGAAAGGAGGAAAGAGAGGAGGATGGCTAAAGATACTGGCTAGAAAAATAATCCAATGACACTCTACAGAGCGGAGCGAGATCTTGCTTGCAAACTACTGGGAGGCGGCCATGGCTTAATGCGAAATCAAACTTTCTCATTCTTAGTGTGATTCAAAACTTGGACTGCCTCCGGCAGTACTGCGCTCTTGATTGCTGGAGGTGTCGAAGAATAGACCGAATGTTATATTTTTTTTAAAAATGTGTTAAATCAGTGTCTAGACTTCTATCATAAGAAACTAGAGAAAGAAGAGCAAATTACACCCAAAGCGAGTAGAAGGGAGAACATAATATAGACCAGAACAGAAATCAGTAACATTGAAGAACTACAGAAAAATATGAATGAAACTAAAAGCTAGTTCTTTAGGGGCGGGGGGTGGAGTCAATGAAATTGATAAACCTCTAGCCAGACTGACCAAGAGGAAAAAGAAGACACAAATGACCAGTATCAGGAATGAAGTAGGGGCATCACTATAGATCCCACAGGCATCAGAAGGATTATAAAGGTGTACTACAGACAATGCTATGTCCATAAATTACATTTAGATTAAAGGAGCAAGTCCTGGAGGCGCACAAACCCCCAAAACTCACTGAAAAAAAATCAATAACCTGAATAGTCTTATATCTACATAAAAAGAAGTTTTATGACAATTTTTTTTTTAAAAAATAAAAGCTCCCAACAAAGAAAACTTCTGATGCAGATGGTTTCACATGTGAGTTATACCAAACACTTAAGGAAAAGGTAATATTAAGTCTACACAGTATTCCAGAAAATAGAAAAGGCGAGGGAGAAATCTCTTCCCAATGTATCTTATGAGGTCAGCATCACCCTCATATCAAAACTAAATGCATTTGAAAAGAAAAATACAAATCAATGTCCCTAATAAATAGAGAGTAAAAATCCTCAGCAAAACACTCACAAATAAAATCCAGCAGTACTTAAGAGGGATAATGCATCACAACCAACTGAAGTGTATCCCAAGACTACAAGTCTGGTTCATCATTTAGAAATCCATCAAAATGACTCACCATATTAATAAGTTAAAGAACCACCTGAATGATCAATTAGCCAAGTTTTCAGATTATACGATACATCAAAGGATCTGAACTTAGACATAGCAGTGAAGACCAGCTTATCTGATCCACTGGTTAGGGAAGACACAAGTTAATTAAGAAAGGGGGGAAATTTCCCCTCTGGTTGAAAAACTGAGCATTATACTCAGGTCAGGCAGGTCCCTCTAAAGAGGTCACTTGTCCTCCCTGTTTCAGGGCGGGGTCTGTAGTAACAGGCATTTCCCTTCTCAAGCAGGTGGCCCACCAGCTCTCCAGGATGGATGCGGCCCCGCCCCCCATGCCTGAAAACCCCTGGGCTCCCTCTGCTGCTTAGGATCCAAGGGTGTCCAAACTGAATGAGGCCTGGGTCTTACCTGATACAAATCCCCACAACTGAAAGAAGAGAAAACAAGTCACCATCGAGCCTGTCTGTCCTGGGTTCTGGTCGTTCTCTCACTAGTTGTTGTGTGGTGTGGAGAAAACTAACCAACACAAGCCTTGACACAGAATCGTCCTGGATTAGTGAACTGCACAGCTGGCCCAGCCTGCTGCTCTGAGCCCACGGGCCTCACAGCCTACCAAACAGACACGGCCTGGGACCCATCGTCCCTGCTTGCTGCCCCTGTCCCTCGGAATTCTCCAACAAATTCCGTGTAACATGGTAATGAAAATGAGTTTTACACGCATGTGCCCTGGACTTTGCTTTGAGGTTATGCAGTGTCTTACTTAATCCTCACAGCAGCCCATTAAAATAAGTACAGTTCTCATCTTCACTTTGCAGATAAATAACTAGGCTCAGAGAGGTTAAGCTACTTGCCTAAGATCCACAGCTAGCAGGCAGAAGTGCCAGGATTTGAATTCAGGTCAGGTTGACTCCAATGCTCAAATTTATAGGAATGAGAATCCCTCCTGGTTTATAATAAAAATGTTGGGGTTTCTTATCTTTCTTTCCCTCTATCTCTGTTTGCAGTCTCAGGAGGAAGTCTGTGATCTGCTCCATGCTGCGCCCTTCCAAAATATCTTGCCGAGAGTCTACATCAAAGGTAAGAAACCACTAACAGCAGCTGAATAGCCATCTTGACTTTGAACTTCATGTTCACTTAATCCCAGTAAACCCAGATCTGCATTCAAAAAGGGAGAAGGTTAAAGCTTTGGGGGGCTATGGACCAGTCACAGATTGGTAGAATTAGAAATGATATGCCAGGCTTTGTTTCTTCATCCTTCTAGAACATCCCTAGTCTCTTGCTTTCTAGCCTTGGTTTAAATCTTTCGAGTAATGGAGAATTCATCCCCCAGCTTTGTAGGTGATTCCATTGTTGGAGAGAGAGAATAGAACATTTTTCCTTGTAGTGAGTCCTGATTACACTCACCAAAACCAAGGAGAATAGTTCTACACGTTCCATCTAAGTTTTGGAACACAAATACGTCCCCAGTTCCTCTGAGAGCTGTCCCCTCCCCAGTTCCCCCCGCCTGACCTGAATCTCATTCCCTGCCTTCTGCTCCTTTGGCAGAGGGGGAGCGCCTGGAGGTGCGGATGAAACGCCTGGAAGCCAAGTACGCGCCGCTCCACCTGGTCCCTCTGATAGAGCGGCTGGGGACCCCTCAGGTAGGCTCCTCCGGTCTTGGGCTCTGAGAACCGTCCTTGTACAGGTGGGCAAACTGAGGCCCAGAGAGAGGAAGGCATGGGTAACCACAAAGCCTGTCAGTGGCGAGGCAGGTCTGGAATGAGATTTGCTGACTGCCAGGCCTGAGTCCTTCCTTCGACACCCGTATCCTCCATCCGCCAAGAAAGAAGGAAGTCAGATAAGTGTCTGGGGCGCCCCGTTAGGTGTCAAGTGCTCTGCTCCGTTATCTCTGAGCATTCAAACTCCATACACCCTGCGAGCCAGCTGTTTACATCTGGATATCTTGCTAGAAAAACACAAGGTGTTTACTGCCACGTTGTTCATTAAAGCAAAAACTGGGAACAACGGAAATGCCAATCGGTACAGGGTTGACTAAATAAAAGGTGGTGAAGTCATCTAAATGCCGAGCACTTGTTATATAATAATGAAAAGGAAAAATTAGATCTCAGTGCATCAATGTGGGTAGGCGAATAACCACATGGTTAGGTGAATAAAGCAAGTTACACGACAGTTCATTCGCAGAGTCTGAAGCCATTTATACTTTTTTAAAAACACCCCCCCACACACACACACACACACACACAACCCATATAAATAAAACTTTTCCTAGAAAATGATATACATCTAGTTCGAAGTGGTGGCGACCTGTACAGAGGATGAGAGACAGAGATGCGGGGGCGGGAGGGGATCCAAGAAGACTTCAGCTTCCTCTCTAATGTTCTAATATTATCAAAGGTGAATGAGCTCATGCATTAATCCTGTAATTAAAAGTAATTTTTACAAAGCAGCCCTACCAGTGGCTATGAGCGTGGAGATGAGTGAGACAGGACCCCCTGCCCCCAGGGCACTCACGGACTATGCAGGGGGTCGGGAAAGAAGAAAAACCGGGAGAAAGGGACAACAAAAACCATGTGCTGTCTCCTTTCAAGTTGGTTTAAGCAATCTAAATATTTGGGGGTGGGGGCTGGCGGATTCAGGAAGAAGAGAAACAGGGCACCATAGGGAGACAAGCCAGGGTGGTTTGTTATGCTCGCCAAAGCTTACTGTTTATTTAAAAGTTCAGGATTCAAATCCCTCTTGGACTTGCATTCCTATGGTCCTCTGCCCTGTTGTCACAAAAGCTCGAGCGTGAAGACTTACATCCTGGGCAGGGGGCAGAAGGCAGCCCGTTCTCGCGGAAACCATGGCGAGCATTTGGGGCCCTTTGCAGAGCCGATCTGCCCGGAGTCTCCCACCTCCTGCTGCAAACCTGACTAAGCGTCCAGCGGGAAGTGGGGTCCGAGCCATCCCGGAGAGAACTCAGACCCGGGGCGGGGGGGGGGGGGGGGCGGCGCCCGTGTCCTCTCCTGGCCCTCAGGGGCTGCGCAGAGGAGCTCCTCGAAAGATTTCCTTTTAGGGAGAAATCCCCCAGGCCAGCAGCGCATCGCGGCCCCACTGGTGGTGTCATCCAACAAGAATCTGGCCCCTCGCACCCAGGCCTTGGCATGTGTTTCCACTTAAAGGCTGGATTCCTTCCTTCCCTGTTCTGGCCAACACCACGTCCCTGGGACCGATAGAAATCGCAATTTGTCAAATGCTGAGTATTTAATAAATAAAAGCCTAGACAGTCTGCGGGAGAGGAAATGCCAGTCTTATAAATCTGCCGGCCCTCAAGGACCAGTCCAAAGCTCCGGTCGTTCTGCAGACCAAAGAAAAGTTAACGAAGTATTAACTTCCGAGCTGGCTGGCATTCAGGGGCTCACATAATACGGGGTGAGGCAAAAGGAGTGTACAGTTGTTCCTCTGGAAAGTAATAATTAATAATAATACAAGAATAAACTGTTTTGCCTACTCAAAACTGTGTACCTACTTTTGCCCCACCCTGTATCTAGGCCAGCGACAGGGCAGTTTTGCTACATATTTAAAGTCGGGAGATGTTAACACTATTGCATTGCTTGCCTTTGTTTCTGGGACAAATTGAGGTGACCTGATTTGTTGCCCAGGGCTATCATGGGAAGAATACTCTGGTAGGGGGTCAAAAGACAGGGGTCCTCGCCCTGGTGTCAGCCCTGAATTGTCACATCACCTAATGCTAGACACTTAATATCTCGGTCTTTGTTTTCCTATCTGTAAAATGGGCAAATAGCTGTTTCTTCTCCTTAACTGAGCTGCCTTACGTGATCATTACGATGAACAAATAAGTAAAAGACTTCTAAAAACATGAAGGATTACATTTTCAAAAGGAGTGTTCAGGTATCACTCTCCTCCAAAGGTCACTAAATGTCATCAGAGGACTCCGTGCGGAAATGCATTTCCACAGGGTTGCAGGGATGCTTTTTCTGTCCCCTTGTTAACTTGGAAAAGAATAGCAGAAAGAGGAAAATCCCCACCAGGAGAAACAGAAAATAAATGGATAAAATTTACATTAAACACATGCGTGCACACACATATGTGTGTGTGTGTGTGTGTGTGTGTGTATATCACCAAGCCACAAATTGGGAATATTTGCAGCAAATAGTCAATAACATACTTTTTCAGAGCAAAAAGAAAATACAGGCATACCAAAAGAAAAAAAAACATGAAAGAAAACTGAGGACACAAAAAATATAAATGCCAACAAACATCAGAAAAAGTGTTCACCTTTACCAGTAGTCAATGAAATCTAAGTGGATAAGAACAGGGTACTAGAACTTTTTACCGCTCAAGTTGGCAACAAACGATAGTAGAGTCCCGGCCAAGGTACAAGGAACAGATTTCACACAGGTAGGTAGCCAGGGGTCTGGCTTTTCCTGGCACTAGCTTGCTGCTCTGTAATCAAAGCCTTTAAAATATTTATACTCTTCAATTGAGTGGTTTCTACTTCTAGGATTTTATCCTAAGAAAATAAGTAGGGATAAGCTCAGAAGGTGTTCTAGGTGAGTCTGGTTGTTTAGGAATTGTCTGTAACAGTGAAATTTGTAAGCAATTTTAAATAACCAACAAGAATAGAGGACTCTGTAAATGACGGTGTGTTAGGGGCCATGTTATGTCGCCAGTAAAAAACCATGTCGCTGAAAATATGGAAAGAGTTTTTTAGGAAAAAAAGAAATACAGATAGTATGGTCCACATTTTTTTAAATATAGACGTATATACACACATACAAAAAACAAGCAAATGACGCATCTGTATTTTAAGAAAGCTCGCCTCTGGGTGATGGGGTTAATAGGAAATTTTTATTTTCTTACAATGTTTAAAACTTTTTTTACATATTTTACCCAGTAACCGTGTACTACTGTTATAGCTCACAGGAAAAATCGCAAGGGTAAACAGCTTTTCGAGGAAAGGGACAAAGCCCCAACCCATTTCGGTCAAGGGCCCTTGGGTTGGCTGTAGCAGGTATTGCGGGGAGGGGCACCGGAATGCATAGTCTGTCCACCGATTTATAAACCCCCTTGCTAATTTTTTAATCCTCCACGATTATCAGGCGCTGAGGATTGATTCAGACTAACTAAAGGCACAGGAGAGTAATTAGTCATTCAGAACTCTCCGTATTAACTTAGAAAGGAGAATATTCATGACTCAGGAGCAAATCTAGATCCTTTATTTGTTCACCGAGCATCTTCACTGTTCCGCCCCCCCACCCCCTGCCCTTTTCTGAAGTGAAGAACCAAAGACCAGCCTGGTAGAGGGTTGCCTGGTGAGAACAGAATCCAGCACCAGGTTCAGGACTGTGCAGGAGACATTTCCATTAACTCTGGCAACCTCAGTGGTCCCTTCTCTGCTCGAGAGCTGTCTCTCTCTGCCCACGGAATCAAGACAAGTCACTTCGAATGAGGGTTCCCCTCCTTCCTGTTTGAAACACATGTTGTGACGCTCTCTTCCCCAATTCACGCCATCCCTCCCACCCCAGACTTATTTCGGCTTATTGTGGTCATCACAGTTGTGCTCCTGACCAATAATATCCTGACAGGCTCCAGCGGTGGTGTTTCCTGATTTATTTCGCTCCACACATTGACTGAGAGGTTGTCATCTTTCTGGGGGCTCCAGGGCAAGGGCTTGCATCAAGAAAACGGGCTCCCTGTAAAACGAGCTCTCTGGGGAGACCAGTCTTTCAGGAGCTGATCCCACAAGCACCCTCTTTAGATTTGGAGACCTCACTTTGACCTTAGATCGTCATACCTACCTATCTTACTGTGCACATGGCTTTTGAGACCTCTAGCCCTAGATATTTTACTCATAACGCAAGCAATGTTTTGATGTGCTTGTCTAGATGATTAGAGGTGCAGTAATCAGGAGCCAGATGAGAAGCCAGCTTAAGTTATGAATAGAGATCATTTGCAATGGTCAGGAGACTTCTCACTGGAGGAAATAATTCTGTAAATTCGCTGGCAAATTTTAAGAGTAACATATGCTCATTGTAACACATACAACCATGCAGAGGTATTTAAAGTATAAGGCGAAAACCTCACCCGCTTCTCCAAGCCCATCTGCTCCCGCAGCTGATGTTAATCCTTCTAAAACGTTTTACATACACCCCACGTATAGTTGTGTGCGTCTGTCTGCGGGATTGCCCCTCAGTGATGTCTTTTAATAGGATTATAGAATACACCCTTTCCTGCAACTTGCTCTCTTCACTTAACAGTTTAACCCACAGATCTACCAGGATCCAGATCCCTACTTTACCGCTCACTGGCTGTCTTCCTGAACCTTAGCATCCTCATCTGTAAAATGGGGGTAGTCCTGGCACACAGCTCCCCGGGCTGGTGTAAGGAATAAATGGAGTCCATACTTATTGGGCACTTAGAACAGGGCCTGGTGTGTGACGCCCACTCAGTGAGCACGAGCTAGTAGTTGTGAGAGCACAGAGGTAGCAACGGTATTCTTAGCGGGGTCATCGGAGCCTTTTCAGCGTCTGCCTGACATTTCATTCATTGCCTGGGTGTATCAAAGCTCTTTAAAACGATTCTTCTGTCGATGGCTCCTAGACTTACTGCACAAGGATCACCCCCAGGTGTGCAAAGTCAGCGCCTCACCCTTGCTAAGACGTCAGTTCTGGGGAACGAATTCTGGCTCCAGGGTTCGGGAGTCTCTGGTGAGAGAGGGCAGGCGGGCTCTGAGATACAGATAGAAGGCTCCTGTACCCTTCTGTTCCCAGCAAATCGCCATCGCTCGGGAGGGCGACCTGCTGACCAAGGAGCGGCTGTGCTGCGGCCTGTCCATGTTCGAGGTCATCCTGACCCGCATTCGGAGCTACCTGCAGGACCCCATCTGGCGGGGCCCGCCACCCACCAACGGGGTCATGCACGTCGACGAGTGCGTGGAGTTCCACCGGCTGTGGAGTGCCATGCAGTTCGTCTACTGCATCCCCGTGGGGACCAACGAGTTCACAGCTGAGTGAGTACCTTTTGGGAAAGCACCGTGGCCTCCAGCCTGCTTGTCGCCCCACGAGGCGTCGGCTGCCAGAGCCCAGCCAGAAAGGCGGTGGACAGGACGAGGCTGTCCGCAGACGGTGTACTGAGCACACATGTGTGCCGGTTGCTGTGTAGGCACTGGGCCTGTGCCAATGCTGAGCAAAGTCAGGCGCCTCCTGGCCTTGTGGGGATCACAGGGCCCATGGAGAGACAGAGGCAGGTTGCATGAGGCAGCTTCACAGTGAGGGCAGGAAGGGTGACAGACGCCTGAGGAGAAAGAGAGAAGCGGGTTGTCAGGATTAAATTGACAGACTAGGCCTGAGCCTTGAATGTTGCTGGGATTCGGATCTCAGCGGGGAGAAACGGGCCCTCTGGGGAAGGCAACAAGCAGGTGGCTGGAGGCAGAGGTGAAGCGTGTGTATGGGAGTGTGCACCCTGGGACTTTGGGCCTCTCGACGCTTGTGTTTCTGAGTTGGGAAGCTGGGCTGATTGAATGGGCAGGAGGAGCCCAGGTCGGGGTTTGGCATTGAGAGCCTCACCGCCCACCTCATCCCCCACGTAACTGCAGGGTTCGCGGGACAGAGAAAGGCTCCCTGGCAGAGGCCGGGCCCTGGTGTGCTCGGGCCGCCCTGGCTTTGGAGGCCTCCAGCCCAGGAATGGGGGGCCTGTAAGAGTAGCCTGGTCCTGTCCTTAGAGGAGACAGAAGGGGAGCCTGGCTCTTCCCCCTCACCCAGCTACACGCCCAGAACAGAGTGGTGAGGGAAGCAGAAGAGGCCTGTCCTCGGGAGCCAAGAGCTCAGGAGAAAAAGCACAGGAGGCCCAAGCAGGGGTCCCTGAGGAAGTGCTGCTGGGCCTGCACTTCCAGCCGTGGGGAAGCGGGGAGCCTCCCAGGGTGTGAAACACAGCGGAGAGGTGACCCCTCCAGCCGCCCAGATTGCCCACATTGCCTTTGAGAGTTGAGGGCATGCAGGTTGAGCTCTACCAGACCCAAGAGCACTTGCAGCCCCCACCCCACGTGCCGGCGGCACCTGCTCTCAGCCATGGCGCCCCGTCCCCGCCCTCCCACCTGCCCTGCCAGCTGGTGTGAAATGGCCACTCCCTTCACAGGTGCGCCCTGTCTCCTTTATGGGCCAGAGCAGATTCTCTTCTGACTTGCTTGACATAATCAGCCACATAAATCTTATACTCTGGTTGGATTTTTTGTCTTGCAAGTTTATCTTCTTCAAAGGTTATTTTTCTAACATCCATGGGGCAACAGGCTGACATCTCTTTGTGGTTAGAAAGGCTTATAATAGAATCACAGTCCCTAGAACAAACAAATGTACAGCTTCCCTTGTACCCATTTTGCAGATTAAGGGAATTGTCCCAGAGACCGGCTGCTCTGTAGCAGGGCTCCTGGTCCCAGAGGAGACCCTTCCCCGCCCCCCTCACGCATCTCACTCCAGCTGCTTTCTCTCCCTGCCCCCAGGCAATGTTTTGGTGACGGCTTGAACTGGGCTGGCTGCTCCATCATCGTCCTGCTGGGCCAGCAGCGTCGCTTTGACCTGTTCGACTTCTGTTACCATCTGCTGAAAGTACAGAGGCAGGACGGGAAGGATGAAATCATTAAGAATGTGGTAAGCAGCTGGGGCCGGGGGGCCGGGGCCGGGCCTGACCAGCAGGCTTGGATCCGACGGGGAGGGTGAGCTGCTTACCTGCCCACACTGCAGGACGGCGCAGCAGCCCTCAGCGGCGGGGACCTCCACGCAGAAAGCCATGAATCATGCGCTCGTAACCGGCCAGGATGTATCAGGTCACCCCGCGGGGCAGGGCCAGGCTCCAGACCCGAAATGCCCCTTCCCCGTGCCAGCCGACTCTGTGGGTGCGGGCTCCTCATCTGCACGGACTTTTCCTGAACAGGAGCGCTGTGCAGGCACGGGGGTGGGGCAGCGCTCTCGTCGGGTAAGCGGGGCTGCGGTGCGAGTTGCACGAGGGCCGTCCGGACCAGGCCAGGAGTGGGGGCGAGGCCCGAGGAGGCTTCCCATGCAGGCGACGACGTTAGGACCAAGTCCAGGGGGATCAGCAGCAAATAGCCAGGCAGGATGCTCCAGAGAGAGGGCACAGCCAGAGCAAAGTCACAGAGGCATGAAGATGTGTGGCTGAGAGGAGAAAGAGGCAGGAGCGGTTTGTTTGTTGGTTTGTTATTGTTCATAGTGGGAGAATATATGTAAAATTTGCCATTTTAACCGTTTCAAGTGTACAGTTTAACCATTTTTAAGTTTCACTGCATTAAGCACACTCACGCTGTTGTCCAATCATCACCACTCTCCATCTCCAGAACTTTTCATCTTCTCCAGCTGAAACTCTGCCCGTTAAATGCTAATTCCTGCCCTGGCTGGTGAGGCTCAGTGGACTGACTGCTGGCCTGCAAACCAAAGTGTCGCTGGGTTCGATTCCTGGTCAGGGCCACATGCGGACCAGGTCCCCAGTAGGGGGTACGTGAGAGGCAACCACACAATGGATGTTTCTCTCTGTCTCTTTCTCCTTCCCTTCCCCTCTCTCTAAAAATAAATTTAAAAAAATATTTTTTAAAAAATACTAATTCCTCCTCCCTCCCTACCCCCAGGCCCTAGTAACCACTCTTCCACTTTCTGTCCCTATGAATCTAACTACTCTAGGGAATTCATATAGGCGGGATCCTCACTTAGCATAATGTAAGATTTAGCATGTTGTAACATATTTCAGAAGTTCCTTCCTTTTTAAGGCTGAATATTCCATATGTTGTTTATCAATTCATCTGTTGATAAACATTTGAATTGCTTCCACCATTTGGCTGTTGTGGTAAATGCTATTACAATAGTAGGTGTACAAATATCTGTTCAAGTCCCTGCTTTCATTTATTTTGGGTATATACCAAAAGTTGCATTGCTGGATCATATGGGACTTCAATTTTTAATTTGTAAAGAACCACCATACTGTTTCCCATAGATCTGCACCATTTTACATTCCCAGTAATGCACAAGGTTTCCAATTCCTTCATATCCTCCCCAGCATTTGCTATTATCTGAGGTTTAGATAACAGCCATCCTAGTGAATGTGAAGAGGTATCTCACTGTGGTTTTGATTTTCATTTCCTTAATGATTAGTATGTTAGCATTTTCTTATGTGCTTATTGGCTACTTTTTTTTATCTTCTTTGGAGAAATGTCTATTCATGTCTTTTTTTCGCTTTTAAATTGAGTTGTTTTGTGTTGTTAGTTGAATTGTAAAAGTTCTTTATGTATCCTGGGTATTAATCCCTTACCAGGCATATGATTTACAAGTATTTTTTCTCATTCCTTGGATTGCCCTTTCACTATTGATAGTGACCTTTGGTGCAGAGAAGTTTTTTTAATTTTGATGTAGTCTAACTTATTTTTTCTTTTCTTATCTGTGCTTTTGGTGTCACATCCAAGAAACTATTGCCAAATTAAATGTAATGAAATTTTTTCTCCATGTTATCTTATAAGAGTTTTATAATTTTAGCTCGTGTTTAGATCTTCAATCCACTTTGAGCTAATTATTTCTGTATGGTGTAAGGTAAAGCTCCAGCTTCATTCTTTTGCATGTGGATAATCCAGTTTTCCCAGCACCATTTGTTGGAAATACTATCCTTTCTCCAGGTCTTGAATAGTCTTGGCACCCTTGTCAGAAATCATGTGCATATAGAAGAGTTTATTCCTGGGCTCTCTATTCTATTGCTCTCAATGCCTGTCTTCATGCCAGTGCCACACTGTTTTGATTGCTGTAGTTTTGTACTAAGTTTTGAAACTCACAAAAAGGTTCTATGGCCAAGTTGACATTTGATTGCCAAGCTCTAGGAACCCATAGAAGGCCTTTAAGCAAGAGAGTGATATGGTCAGTGAGGTACCAGGACTCCAGATCCCAGCCTTGCTGAATTTTTCTCTTGCTCACCTTTTATTTCTCTGTCCCCTCCTCCTACCCCTAACCTAAATGGCCCTGTCCTTTCAGCCCCTGAAGAAAATGGCAGACAGGATCAGGAAGTACCAGATCTTGAACAATGAGGTATTTGCCATCTTGAACAAGTACATGAAGTCCGTGGAGACAGATAGTTCCACCGTGGAGCATGTGCGCTGCTTCCAGCCACCCATCCATCAGTCCCTGGCCACGACCTGCTAGGCAGAAGGTCCTGCAAACCCTCAGCCTGGAGGAGACGAAGCAGCAGGAGAGAGAAAGCCACAGCCAGCCCTGCCGCAGGGCCTGACTGGCCAGCACGTGAGATGGACCAGGAAGCCAACGAGAACCTCCCCAAATTCACTGACACCGCCCGAGGGCTGGGCCTGTGCATGCTCTCCCATGACATCTCCATCTCCATGGTGGTTTTGCCCTAGTATAAATGAAAAAATGAAACACAGGACAAAAAAGTCTTTTTTGTCCTTTTTTTCCCTCAGCTGTGTTAAGAGCCCTAGTTTCACCCTTTCTCCATGTCTCATCCCCACCCCACATCTGTGGTTGCTTCCCAAGACCTCCTCCCAAGATGGGGACCTCCTACCCCGTGCCCACGCGTGACCTCATAGCTGAATTCTCAGAGCTGGAGAAAGACCGTGGCCGCCGCCCGAGGTATCAGCCCAGCCTGATGGTCATGCTTCCACTCACTGGCTTCCTCCGCTCTGGCTCCCTCCCTCCACATTCCAGGTGGCCTCTCCTCCTGCTCTGGACACCAGGGATTCCACCACCAAGAATACTCCTGGACCAGGTGCTGAGAGCCATGTGGACAGAGGACAAGGATCCTGGTGTCGGCACCATGGTCGATGGTGTTGGCTCTGGTCAAAATTTCTCACAGAATCTCCCCGAGCATGGGGAGGCTGTTCTGAAAGATGGAAGCCTGTGGAAGGGAACATCTCAGCACAGAGCAGACCATCTTCAAAGGGGTCTGTGCCTCTGCACTTGTAAGGTAATATAAAGTGAGACATTTGATATCCCTTCCTCCCCCCCCAGCCCAGGGAGGAAAGAAAAAAGAAATAGAACAATAATGATGTCCTCCCTCAGCGCAGATGGATGTGAACGGTTACCAGTAATCAGATGGCCCATGTTAACCCCCTGGAAAGAGCAAACGTGAACCCATAGCAAGAGGTTTGTGTGATGCACTCAGGCACACCAGGGAGGAGGGGTGGGGCTTGCCAAGTGTGGTCCAAAGGCCCCTTACATCAGGATTTCCTGAAATTAGCACATTTGATGCCAATTCCTGGGCCCCGCCTCAAACCCACTAGTTTGCATCTCTGGGAATAAGGTAGAGACATCTGCACTCTCCAGATGCTGTCCGAGTTCTGTCGCACGTGGAAGTCCAAGGACCACCATGGCCTTTGAGCTCCCTCTGAGCCATGAGAACAAAATATTTGTAGGGGAAAAAGGTGGTTCAAGGTGGAAGCTGGCAGATCCTTCTGTCTGGAGGTGCCACGTCCTGTTCTGATTCTTTATTTTGGGCTCTTGATGATGTTAGATCAAAGGCAAGAGGGAAAGGTTACACCCCCATGGTTGAATGACATAGAACATGCCTTCAAAACCCACATCAAATCTCTAAAAACCTTCAGTCCTGTCTGGGGACAGCAGCTCTTTCAGACAGATGACCAGCTCTTAAGTCCCAGAGATCATTCCACATTCCTGACCTTTGCTTTTGTGAAGATTTGGATCATCCATTTGATGAGATTGCTATTTCAACAACCTGCCCTTCCAGCTCCACATTCATAAACCTAAATTTGACCCTTTTGGTAGAATCCCATTATCTTCAAGAGATTCAATCCCATTAAATTGAGGTCTTCACCTTTGGGAGAGACATCTCGTCTCCCCAGCTTGCCAGCAGCATTTATTTATGAGCACTGAACAGGTTTAATATTCTTTCCTCCCTGATATTACTGTCCTCCTCTTGATTTTTTCTTTTTGTGTGTGTGTGTCTAAGAACCAGGAAAAAAAAAATTTTACGTTTTAAAAAGTTAAAAAAAAAATGTTTCAGAAACTGTCAAATGTACCATATTTGTATTAAGAGTTGTTGGGGATTTTTTTGTACAATGAATTTACATTTATTTATGGTGACTTCTATTTACGCTTGTGATCAAATAATGATGTTAAATTCTTAAATCGTATTTGCTATGCAGCTGAAGATGATATTTTGCTTTGTATTTTGGGGTACCTGTGTTGAGGTGATAAACACGTCCATCTTCATTAAAACTGCTTCCAAACTGGTGACACCTGCATCTTGGTTGCGATTCCGGGTTGCTTTCCAGTCCTCGTCACCACATTAAACCTGATGACTGAGAAAATAACTGAACGGAATGGGGGGAGACAAAGAGCCAGAAGGTCGGGATTCCCTAAACTTTCGCTTTCTCACAGAGAAAATTATCTCTTTACGAATTGACTAGTCCTGGGCAAGATGTAGGAGGTAGCTCCTGCCCTTAGGGATTTCATAGTCTTGCTGAGTGTAACTGACACCCCAGATCCCTGCTTCTGAGAGGAAGAATGAGCACTAATATTTAATGAGGCCTGGTGTGTGCGGGCACTATTCTAAACCCTACGCAGCCCTCCCTGGGACTCCAGCGCAGTCCCTGATGTGTTGTATCCCACGTTGGCAGAGAGGCTGTACTGCGTGTTCATTTTTACACAGTTACTAGGTGACGCTGGGATTTGAACGCAGTCCCAATCCCTGGGCTTTCGCCATCACACCTCCGTGAACTGATTGACCATGCCAGACCCCAAAACTAGACTTAGGGATTTGGTCACTGGACTTTTCGGGGCTTTGGGTCAGTAAGTGTGAGTTAAGCCTGGTATCAAGGGAGTTCCCAGGCCGAGCTACCTGGAACCCTCTCAGACCCGTCAGGAGGATGACGTGAGAATAACACTGGAAGGATGCGTTTCATACCAGCACCAGGTTTCCTAAAGGCCGGCCGTCCGCAGGTGTTAGACCTGGGGCCCGGGTGACTCCCCCGCCGCCGTGGCCTCGGGCGGGCCTCGGTTCCCTCATCTTCAGGTTGGACAGAGTGCTCTGGGGTCCCTTCCAGCTCTGCTTTCCTGATTCTAGGTCATTGCCCGTCACGAACTCAAAAATGGTTCTCAGCTGGGAGTCACACCTTCCAGGGCTTGTCATCATGAGGGGGTTGTAATGCTGAGCTGGCGTAGCTGAGGGACTAGGAGTCCTGAGAGATGCTCAGCAAAAGAAGATTCCATGGTCAAATACATGTGGGGACCACGTCGCGCTCTCTTCCCCTCTTGAAGACCCTCGGTGCCCTCAGTCCTGCAGAACCTCACCAGCCTGGACTAACACCACATCTCCTTGTGGCTGTGACCTGAGAAACCCATTTCTCTGCAACAGTAATTAAAAAAACAACAACAACAAAAAAAAAACCACCTCCCACAGGAAAAGGGCCACTGACAGAGGCAGTCATGACCCCGGGACCCCAGTCGGGCAGCAGGGACTGGCAGAGTATCCAGGGCTTCCAGTAGGAGGGGGGCAGTCATTGGCTGGGGTGGCCATAACAAAACACCACAGACTGGGTGGTTTAAACCACAGAATTTTATTTCTCACAATTCTGGAGGGGGGCAAGAGCAAGATCAAATTGTGAGCAGGGTTGGTTTCTTCTAAGGCCTCTCTCCTTGGCTTATGAACGTCCATCTTCTCCCTGTCTTCACATAGTTTTTCCTCTGTGAATGTCTGTGTCCTAATCTCTTATAAGGACACCAATCATGTTGGATTAGGGCCCATCCATACGACCTCATTTTACCTTAATTACCTCATTAAAAGCTCTGTCTCCAAATACAGGACCCATGCTGAGGTGCTGGGGGTAGGACTTCAACATAGGAATTTGTGGGTCACCAGGCAGCCCATAACCCTGGGGAAGCAGAAACGTAGGTCTGGGAAAGGTGCTCTCTCCTGGGTCCTGGGACCGTATGAAGGCTGCAATGCCCTGGCTTTGAGAAGCAGTTCCTGAACTCTCACTATTTGCAAGACTCTGTGACAGATTAAAAATCGATCATGGCCATGACCCAAAGGAACACATGGGGTTGTAGGACGGAGGAACAAGACGTTCATACAATGAACTATATGGAGCAGAATACGGTGAGTCTACCAACCGTGAGCAGTTACTGAGCTTTCTCCATGCCAGACTTCAGAAAAAGTGCTTTGAATGCTTTATTCATTTAAACCTCACACTTAGTGTAGGTTTAATAGTAGGAGATAGGTACTATTATTTATCCCCTTTCTAGAAATGAAGCTACTGAGGTACTGGTCTCAGAAGGTAGGGGATGGAGCTAGGAGTCCAAGATGTCTGGATTCAGGTGCAAGCTCTTAGCCACTAAGCACGTAACAGCGCCCTCTAAGGATCCCAAGAGACAGCCTTACTAAGCGTTTTTCAAGATCATCAAAAGGAGAGTGTTCTTCCAGCTGGGGAAGATGGAGAGAATGAGGCAGTATCAGCAAGGACTTCATGGAAGAAGTTATTACAATGTAAAGGGTATTAATAGAATAATAAAAATATATATGGTTTATAAATTTATATAATAAAATGAAAATATTTTCTAGTATTTCCTGTAATAACAGTAATTATATGGGACCCCATTAGAGTAGTGAATGTAATATGTAAAATGCAGAGTCCATTCCTGAACCTAAGTGTTGCTTTTGACAGCTTATTGACAATTTCAGGTGATACTTATCAGAACAAAATTTCTTGTTCAAGTTAATCTTTAAAAAACTAAAAGCTACGATGACTCGAGAAAAGTTGTCTAATTTGGCATTACTGACAACAGAAAACAAATTGTACAAAAATCTCGATTACAGAAAGTAGACTTTACATGTTCTCACTACACTAAAAAAAAAGAAAAAAAGGTAACTGTATGAGGCGATGGATGAGTTAATTAACTTGTGATCGTTTTGCTACATTACATCGAGCACCTTAAATAAGTACAATTTTTATTTGTTAATTGTACCTCAATAAAGTTAGGGAGATGGGTGGAATCTTGCTTTTAAGAACAAAATAATGTTGTTAAAAGGAAGGCAAAAAAGTGAAATTTATAGAATAAATACATACTAATTTATGAATTACAGATGTCTTTATATTACCCGTTCAAACATTGCTGACTGTATAACAGAACACCCAGAACTATGCAATGATAATTAAATTCAGTCATCTTTGGTATTTTCACCAACTTGCAGTCATATAAAACCCATGACTTTACATATACTTTATTTTGTGTTATAAATGTATATTTTGTCATCAGGAAGACAGACCATATTTTGTAGCAGTTTAACAGCGTGATTTAGAACTTTTGATTATTTAGACACATATGGTATGTGGTCCTTTCGCCCCAGACCCTGCAGACGGCGGGAGGGGCTGGCTCCGGTCCTGCAGTCAGTTCCCCTAAAGAGAACAAAGCTGGAGGTGGGAAAAGAACAAAGACACATTTGCTTCCCTCCGGGTGAAGAGGAGAGTAACCAGCCCCCAAGCCAGCCCCCGCTTCCTCATCTGGTTTGATTTACGCTGATTGCCTCAGTCTGCGCCCCTTCCCAACCTGTTCCCAGGCAGCCCCAGATGCTGCGCTGTCTGGCTGGCCCAGAGCTTCCGGCAGAATGGGGAAAGCGGAGGGTTTCCCTGGGAAAATATGCTGTGAGATGCTATCAGAGCTAAAAATATGTGGTCCCTAAGCTCCACCCTCATTAGTCAGGATAAAACCCAGGGATTTCTGCCTTCTGGAGTTTCAGACCAACAGGAAAAGGGGAAATCAAAGAACCCCTGGTTGGTTGGGGCTTAACCACTTTCTGGCAAGGAGCCCAACCCTGGGCTGGAGAAAGCTCCTTGGACTCCTTGGTGCCTGCAATGGGCGAGGAGCTGACTCTCCCCCTGGGGACAGCCTGGGGTCAGCCTGAGGTCAGCCCATCCACAGCTACCGCATATTCTCATCTAATGTACTTCTCACGTCTTCAGCGTCCCCATTTTATTCTTGAGGACCCAGACTCGGAAAACAAGGCCTTTCTCAGTTCATCCTGGGGCCCCAGGGACCCTGCTGTCCCGCCCCCGAACCACCCCCCACCGGCCGACACGCACACCTGCCCCTGCCTGCAAGGAATGCTCCCCGACCCCTCCTCCCCTCCCTGTCTTCACAGACTAAACCTCCCATTGCCCTTCAAATCTCACTTGAAACACCCCCTCCTTCTGAAGCCGAGGTCTCTGCACTTGACCTTCTGGCTGTTTACCAAAATGATAATTCAATGTTTTGTGACCATTTAATGGACACAGGCCATGACTATAGGGATTGCATCCCTCTTGCTCACTATCATGGTCCCTATGCCTGTCTCAGGAGGTGACATGTCAAAAGTGTCCCAGCTATGTCCACTGAATGAATCAGTCCCCTGCCCCCTCAAAAAACATTGCCATGTAATTGGTGTTAACAAGTCAGCCTGCCTTAAAACCGCAGCTGTCCTAGAGGGGAGGAGAATAAAGGCCTAGTTGTCTGGTATCAGCTGTAAGTGCTGTGGTCGTACTACTCAGGGTGGGAAGGCGGGCTGGAGGTGGGGTCGTGCAGGAGGAACAGGGACAAATACAAGAAAGTGACGAAGGGATGGGCTTGAGGTTTGGGGAAGAGCGTGGAGGCAGAGCCTATGGGGGCAGTTCGTGGTGGTGGCCATTTTCTCCCCCTTGGGACAGTCCTCAGCCAAGAATGGGGCAAAAGCAAGTAACTGGTGAAAAGCTGGTGGTTGAAAACCCAGCTCTGCCGGGAGCCAGCCAGTTCTCAGTCTCTCTGAACATCAGGATCCGCATTGATAAGAATAGTTAGCAGGGGTAATAGCTATTTCTCAGGCTGCTACAAGGATCAGATGATAATACGCACAAACCAGCTTCGCGCAGCGCCTGGCACACAGTCAGTGGGTGACCAAGAGCTGGAACAGGTTCGGAAAACGGGGCCTCAGCCAGAGAGAGCGCTCAGTTTTCCCTCTGCATCCAGGTGTCTTGCTTCCTTCTCTCCAACCTGGGTTTCCACTCAGGGCTCCCCAGGGAAGGTCAAAGTGCTTCTCAGATGATCTCACTCACCCCCCCACTCCCCATTCGGTGCACAACTCTCTTCCAACCGATTCAGGAACCAAAAAAGCCTAGATGAAGAAGCCCGTGGAAGGGACTGTCCCAGAACTCAGGCAGCCAGGAGGTCAGACTGGGCTGTTCCTCAAAGCCAGAGGGGAGAAGGCAGGGCCTACCGCCCCCGCCTAGCCCCTCCATGGCAGGCTCCCAAGAGGAGCCCAGTGTTACTTCGCAGGACCTGGGGAAGGCCAAGGAGAGGCCATAGACTACTGGATAAGCAAACT